CATTGCCCTTCACTGGACTCACTCCAGTGCCTCAATGTACTTTTTAAATTGAGAGACCCAAAACTGAAGATAGTACTTGAGGTGTGGCTTCACCAATGTTGAGTACAGGGGGATGATCACTTCCCTAGTCCTGCTGGCCACACTATTCTTGATACAGGCCAAGATGCCATCGGCCTTGTTGGCCACCTGTGCACACTTGGCTCATACTGAGCCACCGTCAAACCGCAGCCTCAGGTCCCTTTCTGATGAACAGCACTTGAGCCACTCCTACCCCAGCCTGTAGCACTGCTTGGGGTTGTTATGTCCCAAATGCAGGACCTGACACTTCACCTTTTTGAACCTCATGCAGTTGCCCTCAGCCCACTGACCAGTTTGGTCCAGGTCTCTCTGTAGAACTTTCCTACCCTCAGGCAAATCGACACTACCACTCCAACTTAGTGTTGTCTGCAAATTTACTGAGGTTGCACTCAATCCCCATGTCCAGATTATCAGTAAAGATGTTAAACAGGACTGGGCCCAATACTGAGCCCTGGGGAACACCACTAGTGACTGGCTGCCAATTGGATTTAGCTCCATTAACCACTACTCTCTGGGTCTGGCCATCCAACTAGTTTTTCACCTGTAAAACTCAAGATAGGGCAGTGGAACAGGGAAGGGTTTACTGGGTCATCAGGTCCAGGCTTCCCTCTCCTGCTGCTCCCACAGCCTGTTTGTAGGCCTGTCACTCTGCGCTGGCTTTCCTAAAATCAGGACACTCATTTCTCCTGTGGTTTGTGGTAGAAAATTGCACCAGAAACATGCAGTGTTGATGGTGACCCATTGCACAAGACAGTGCATCACAGTGCACAATGTTGAGCAGCCCTGGGCCCACCAGGAAATAAAAGGCTTGTATTGTGCTTGCTCTTTTGCTATGTGTAATGTTATTCCTGAACATAGGAAGCAGTTGGGCTCGTGGTTCAAACTCCTGTTTGTTCTGTGCAAAATGTACCAGTGTGGCTGCTGATAGGGACGTGAAGAGCATCATTCGTAAGTACTGTCAGGGAGGTAGTGAAACCAACACTGGGAAAGGGCAGCTGTGTGTAACTGTGTGTCAGTGTACATTTTGCAGCCAACACGGTGGCTTTTTAGTCGGATGTCTCATGCTCACAGGAACTGTAGGTGATTTCCAACTCCTCCTTGTTAACTTCACAGTTGCAGAAAAGAGGATGTTTGGTTTTTAGGCTCCGTCTCACACACAGTCAAAACCCTCAACCAGAAATGTAATATTATTCAGTGCTGGTGAAAGGAATGGTGGTAACACTGCCAAAAATAAAGTTTTTTAAGAGTGTTTAAAAAAATCACACCCAAGAATGCTTCAAATAAATAAGTAGAATAGGACATGAATGTTTCCTTTATCTATTGGACATTAATGAAGTAAGACCTGCTTGCTGTTGCTCCCAGACAAGCAGATCATTTATATAAGAAGGTTCATCAACAAAAATAAACTGTTATGTATGCAAATTTACTGGTGTACCAAAGTCTTAAGCTGTTTAATTATTTAAAAAGCTTTCTAGGTAAGAAAAAGAAAAATTGTCATTATCCTAAACAGGATGAATAGCTGCTTGATATACTACTAGGTAATTAGGAGTTTATGGCTTGCACTCATCTGTCATGGGAGGAAAAAAAAATGGAGTTATAGTTCTTCACCCTCCTAACTGTCAGCATTTTTTCCTCTCTTTTTGTATTCCTTTATCAAAATGCATAAATCTTGGAGTTCACTTTAAACAAGCCCCAGAAATTCCTGAAGGTGTAAGCTTTGGTCTCTGTAGTAAGAAGGTTCCTGTTTT